AAGTTTAGGTCAATTGGTTTTTAGGTCAATAGACCCGCACCCCTACTAAACATATGGACACAAAATACGAGAAAAAATAGCTCATCGAAAGGTTCACCACTAAAACCGGTCATGTATTGGATATACGGAGGGAGTCTTATCAGTGGCACAATATTTGTGCCCTTCTATAACGCCAGTGTTTTGGCCACTAATGATGTCGTACTCGTGGCCACAAACTATAGATTAGGATCTTTAGGATTCATGTTTGGGGGACGGGAGGACGCGCCCGGAAATGTGGGATTTTATGACCAGTTATTGGCTCTTAAATGGGTATAAAAAATATAGTCATTTTATAATTGTTTAGTTTTAATTAATGATTGAATATTAGGTGAGAGATAACATACATTTATTTGGTGGGGATAGGGATCAGATCACTATATTTGGTCAGAGCGCCGGCAGTTGGTCGGTGTCCGCACATATAGTCTCTCCACTATCTAAAGGCTATTCAAGAGGGCTATTATGGAGAGCGGGGCCCATATGTATAATAAGGACAGGGATGTGATCAGTAAACCGGAGGCCTTAGCGAGTGCCCAGAAATTGGCGGAACAACTGAAATGCAATACAACTGAGCAATAGTTACAATGTCTGCGAGGAGTGAACCCAAAGGAATTCATAAAAATAGTGTCTTTCTTCACATATAAATAAATAAATTAATTAATAAATTAATGAATTAGTTAGAAAGACAAATTATATTTATTTGGCAAATAAATTAACCAAAATGTTATAGTTGTATTTTTATCATAATTTTAACTAAATAAATATAATACTAAATAAAATGTCCTTGCTATTATTGGTAACTTTATTGTTGTTTTCCAAATCAATAATCAAATTTTGACATCAGCAAATAAGTATAATTTAAAAATTATATTTAATTAATACGTTTTCTAAATACTCTAATTTACGTAAATATCTAATTCAACAACTTATTATTGAAATTATTGATTTATTTTACTAATTTACTATACCGTATCTGGTGTTATAAAGCAGAATACTACATTGACTAACATGAACCTTAATTCAGCCATGAAACTATTAGTCTATCTGTACTACAGATTCTGTAGTGCAGTCTGGGTGCTTGTACAGGGATGTGCACCAGAGACAGTACTAGTTTAATTTTGGAACTAGTACACTCAAACCTTTATTAGTAATGAATTACATCTAAAATTTTACTAGATTAAATAAGTGATTAGTGTGCTATAAAGTAATTTTCACGTATAAATCTATAAATATTAGTAGTATAAACAAGTTTGACACATCGAACTGTCAAATATGATAAGGGTCCAATATTAGGGTTTAAAGGTTAATCAGGGATTACTTTTGGTCAGAAATAATATTTACAAATTTATACGTGAAAATTACTTTATAGCACACTAATTACTTATTTAATCTATTAAAATTTTAGATATAATTCATTGCTAACAAAGGTTTGAGTGTACTAGTTCCAAAATTAAACAAGTACTGTCTCTGGTGCACATTCCTGTATATAATAGTGCAAATATTTGAGTTGCACTAAATTACAATCAAACTTTATACCCGGCATATCAACAGTATATCAAATAATACAATATCACTAATTAACACTTCAGAATTTAATTGATAATTTGAAGTGCTTATATAAGGTTTCACACCACTTGTATTATTATTTGACTATTATTTGTAAATTTATAATAAGCATTAATTTGTGCTATGAAATGTGCAATTTATGTCCTAGACAAAGTTAATAAGAAATAATTTTTTTCAATTGAACACATTAAGGGGTACAATAAACAACACTTTATTAAAAGTGCTTGCATTTAAATGGGTCATTATCAAGGAAAATTATAAATAAAGTACAATATTACGATAAAATATTTGAAATAAATCACAATTATGATAAAAAATAAATTTCATAGTTTTGAACAATGTACTGTACGTGTATTGTGGCAATTCAATATAATAAATTAAGTTATTCAGATGATATTCAGTCCACATTCAGTGCATTAAATGCCTAATACGGTATTAATAATACCGTTTAATAATATTTTTAAATAGATATAATATACTGATTGAGCAATATTGTTTGATAGAGTATTAGTAATACCGTATTACATCGAGTGAAATATTTACAGTATCATTTAGAAATATATAACTTTTTATAATTAGTCGATAAACTAGGGATTAATTTTAAGTGTTTCTCAATTAATTAGCTGTAACATACATTTGGTACTTTCACTGGTACAAAACTGATTGATCACAATTGATTGATAGGTATTACAGTATCATCTAGAAATACATAACCTTGCCCAATTTACACTAAATTTATTGACAATATAAATAACTACAAAATGATTATATTTTTTAATTGATCATTTTTCAATAAAATAAGTTATTTTGCTTTTTAATTTGACAAAATGTTTGTATATTTACTACTATTAGTATTCATTGAATACAGTGTTTGTGTTGATGTGAACACAACATCGGGTGTAG